CTAGGTAAGCCTTGTGCTCCAAAAGATGAATTACCTTAAAAGCCATGAAACAGCTTCCAGGACCAGAACTGATGTACGGATAAAAATGTAGTCACTGGCCCATCTGGCCCAGGCACAAAAGTCTTGTCATTTCCCAGGGGCTTGAGGTAGAAGCCTCCCATTGGTCCATAGATTCTCTTCTTCTTTTCTGCCGTCCCCCAAGAATTTAACTTTCATTTTCACTTGGCTCCTCTCCATCTTCTTCGTGCAGCTCAGGCTCCTGGTTTGGTAAGTAAATCCTGACCACCTCTGTACCTGGCCTGGCTTCCTCTTCTGAAAAGTGGCACAACTACTACATTGCTGTCTGAAGGTCAGTTGAGTAGTTTGTAGATGGTAGGGATTGGGAGACTTCAGAGGAAAAAATTGAATTTGCTTGAGTGAGTTTAATTTGTCTTCAGGAAGCTGTTCTGAAGGCAGAAAAAGGCCCAATTTGCAGGCTTCCCACTGAGAGTGCTGACTGAAGTGCAGTCTGGGGGAGGGCTGGTCTCTAAAGAAGGGAGAGTTGATGAAGTAAAAGGCTTTATTTGTTTCATGGAGGGACAATTATTTCTCCAATCTGAATTTACCCACACCTACAGATTCTATAATTTTGAATTGTACCTTGTTGAACAGGCAGACTCCTAGAGTTTTCAGAGGTAGAAAGTCCCTTTCCCCAACAACAGGAGCAAAGGCAAAGGGATCTTTAAATCGTAATAGTTTAATGCCTTAAGTGTAACAATCTACTATTTCTGTATGACTCTGTAGATAAATTCTCATCCCTTGGCCTGTCTGTGCTCAGGAGACTTGATGGGGTGACAGCTGCCAAGCTCTGCAGCCTGTATTTCACTTGTCCAGACACAGGAAATTGCTACAGTTCCTTAAAATCACTAATCTTGCTCATCCATCACCTTGGGCTGTATCTGCCACCCAGAAACAGAGCTCAGCTGAGAGATCAGGAGCAAGAGGAACATGTAGGAAGAATTTGCAAATGTGCTATCTTTGCTCACTTCGATAAACAAAATGAGTTACTTGATTATTGTTAATGATATAAAAAGATGTCACAAAAAGTAGCATGATAACAGGATCCTGAGAAACATGAAGGAAGGAAGTAAAAGTGAGTCTCTGTGCTTACTGCCCCTTCCTAAAGAACGTACAGCTGCACTCACCTTACTCAGGCATGTGGAAGACACCAGTCAAATCTCTTTTCTCACCTTGACTTCCCCTCACGTGAAATACTCGTACTTTATCAGAGTTGGCTTTGGAGATTGTCACCTCTGCTACATATTCTTGTCTTCCTCTCAGGCATAAGTCAGTGTTAGGCACCTGTCTTCTGAACTCATACAGTGCACCTCTGTCATGCCAGTTATTGCAGGGATTTAGTATTGATTTGTTACTTTTATGCTTCAGTTTTTATTTTGGTAGTATTATAAAGAGTTTATATTAAATAGTATTAGATGGTTACCTGCAATAAAAACATAGCCGAATTTCTTTTTTCCATTCTATTTAGGAAAAGTGACTCTCTCCCATATAACATTGGTAAATTAGGGCTTCATCATGTTTAGAGAAATAGTTTTATTCCAATCACAAAAGAAGAAAGTTATGCTATATCCTTATCGTTAGACCGTTTACATAACTATTGTCTTTTAATGTGTTTTTTGCTTGTCTTTAGCTGTCACCTCTGGGATGTTTCGGATTTTTATTCTCATGAGCTCAGATGTCAGAAGACAAATGTGTAAGGTGCAATCACCTGACACCTATGGCAGCCAACTGACCTGGGAGTTCTATCAGACACACAGCTCATGTTCCCATATCTATCTCCCTCATTGCTGTGGAGCCCTTGGGTCACTGCTTAGGTAGAGGTGAGATCATCCTCCATGGGCGAGGATTCTAGCTCCTCTGTATATTGCCATTCTGTGTCGATTGTGGCAGCAGGTGCTTTGACATTAGCTCCTTGTAGCCCCACTGTGAAAATAAATTCCATAACACCTTGGCATAAACCATGCTCTGCTCCTCCCTCCTCTATATGTTCTTGAGGCATCTCAGCTTTGGTTGGATCTTGAATGGGATGAGAAATAATTGGAGGCCCCACGCCCATGTTTGGATAGCTTGAGTCAGAAACATGGGTAGACGTTATCATATAATGTCTACATTTGGTATAATATCCACCTTTGATCTTGCTATTCATAATGGCCTGATCTGGGCCATAGTCTCTGCGGCCAGGTGCCAACTGCATATGACCTCTGGGCTTTTTTTAGTATCTGTACTATTAGCTGGATTATACTTTCGGTTCACCTTCAGCCTTGTTATTTATCAGGTTTCCTTCAGGTATGATGAGCATGACACAAGTAGACACTTTTAGTAGGTCTAAATTTTTCTCCATGCAGTCTTTATAGCTTTTCCCTCCCTTTTTCTGGGCAAAGGGAAAACTTACTGGTTGTCTCATAGTGACCCTTCTTTTATCATCAAACTTTAGCAACTGTCAAGACATTAATATCTACTGAGACCCTCTCTTTCTTTGTTTATTGCTGCATAGCTCCATTTGCCTGGAGCTGCTGATAGAACTCCTGAATGTAGACGGTGGCCACAGGGTCATATTGAGCCCAGGTTGAGAAATAAGCATCACTGTATTACCACTCTGTGATACCCCCTCTGACTGACCACCAGCAGCAGTTTGCAGTCTGGATGGCCATTTCTGTCCAGGTGAACCTAATAAGACACAAACTACCAGGTTCTCTTAGTTTAGCTGGGGGCTACAAGACAGCAGACAAAGCATGCCAGCCTGGCTGCCTCGGGTGAGTTCTCAGTGATGGACCTTACAGTGGTACAGGAAATGCTTTATCCCTGTCATCTCAGCTTTGTAAGATGCCAGGCCAGGTGGATGTGTGTGAAACTGCCATAGGTTAGATAAGCCTAGTGCTACAAAGAACTGATTACCTTGTGAAAGTCTGTGAGCAGAGCTTCTAGGGGCCTAAAAGAGACATATTTGTTTATAAAAGTCATATGACCTTGTGAAAAATTAGGTCTATGATTACCAACTGGCATTTAAGGTCTATATAAAGTCTTCCTAGACTGAGTACACTTTACACATCAGGCCATTTTTACTATCAAGGCAGCTGAACTTGCATGTTATTATAACCCAGTAGGGTTTCAGGGAAAAAAAAAAAAAACAACTTACTAGGAGAAGAATAAGCCAATATCATCTTTACAGGAAGAAAGACCTCAGGCCTGATGTTAACCCTTTGTTCCCACATAGCCAATGTAACTCCCAGTCCTATCCTTCCACCTCATCTTGTCTCTCATTATACTACTCTCCATTTCCTTCGTCACCTTGTCCCTCAAGCTATCATCATCTCTCTCCTGAGCAACTGTACCTACATCCTAACTTATCTTCTCAATTCCACTCTGGATCCATCTAACATGTCACAGCTGCAGTGCAGAGCTAAATATGCCCCCACTCTTCTCTAATGGGAAAACATTGATAATTTTTCCTTGCTCTTGGAAACGAGTGCATCAATGTTACATACTTTGGGAAGTTTCACATCTTATGGTCACTGCAGGCTCGTGTGATACCAAAGACCTAATAGTTTTCTGTACACCAGCCACACTGGCATTTTAAATTCATACAAGATGACATGTGTCCCATGAAGAGGTCATTTCTTCCACCTGATATATTTTGTCCTCTCTCTCATCCCGTATTTCCTTCAGTTTCTTCAGCTTTCAGTTCAACCCTTGTGTTTTCAAGTTGGAATTCTTAGATAACCCTCCTTTTGCCTCCATTATTTGATTTCCCAACAACTTGTAGGTCTCTCTAGAGTGTTTTTCACAGCTGCTCTTCTGTACATATACGGCTGAATATTTAACTTACTATTACTTACCAAGTCAATGTCAAGTGCTTGGAGGTTTAAATTTTCTGTTTAGACTCATCTTTGTGTTTTTGGATATTTGTCTACTTGCTAGCATATGTCATAGTTAATGATAATTTGTTGAATAATCTTGCCTAATATTTTGAGACTTCTTTCACAATATTAACATTCATTTCATCTGTGTTTCAATTTCCAGATATCTGAAATGTGTGATCCTCTGAGTATATCCATACCATCTCCCTCTCCACTACCCACATACATACACATCCTTAGGCTCCTATTAATGTCCTTGACATATTTCCAGGCCAAGGTGAAATCTCACCATTTACAAACACAAGACTCCCCAGAACTTCACAGCTGGTCTGGATCTCTTCAATTCCACACGTCCTATTACTTTCAGTATTAATTGGGTTCATCAAGTTTCCTCTGTTTGTCTTTGAGTAACTCCGTGGGGTAGGAGGAAACAGACCTCTGAGGGAGGACCCCAAACATTAGGTTCCTCCTAACTCTGTGTATTGAAGATAAATGATCTTCGTCTCTTACGATCTCTATTTATCCACCTGATAAAGGGTTTGCTCTTACGATGTACACACACACAATGTCGTATATTATGTCATGATAATAAGAGAAATTATCACAAATGTGCAACAAGTGATGGCAATGGTTACACTGTAAATAAATTAGTCAAAGCAGGTCTTGCTGATTAGAGTTCACTGAAGCATAAGAGTGAGTCATACAAATATCAGGGCAGCTGAGAGAAGAGCAGGTATAAAAGCCCAGAGGTATAAGTGGTTTGGTGCTTGTAACATTGAGCATGAGTTTTCGGTGTGGGAAAGATAAAGCAGGATAGACAATGGGTCACACAAGGATCTTGGGAGGACAGTTTTCAGATCATCCTTTTGTTCAGTAAAAGTAAAGGAAAATATCAATCATTGCACAGATGAGGATGGGGTTTGTCGTGTGACATGAACTGGGAGTAAAGCGTCTAAAAGTATTATAAAAAGTCCTTTTTACCAGGTCACCAAGCTCCTTTCCTTGTTTCACCACCTTTACTTTTTTGTCCCTCGATATTTTGTCTCAGCCTTGATTTGTACACAAGTAATATCATTTGATTCCTACCTTTCTTACTCTGTCCCCTTTTACTTTCCCAATCATGCAGGGATCTGTGAACAAGAGGAGCTTCAGAAGTCAAGACAGGTAGGATACAGGAGCAGCTGCGATGGCTTCAGGAATCCTGGTGGACATAAAGGAGGAGGTGACATGCCCCATCTGCCTGGAGCTCCTGACAGAACCCCTGAGTCTAGACTGTGGCCACAGCTTCTGCCAGGTCTGCATCACGACAAACAACAAGGAGTCCATGATCAGCCAAGAAGGAGAGAGCAGCTGTCCTGTGTGCCGAATCACTTACCAGCCTAGGAACCTGCGACCTAATCGTCACGTGGCCAACATAGTGAAGAGGCTCAGGGAGGTCAAGTTGAGCCAAGAGGAGGATCAGAAGAGAGATCTCTGTGTGTGCCATGAAGAGAAACTCCTGCTCTTCTGTAAGGAGGATGGGAAGGTCATTTGCTGGCTGTGTGAGCGGGCTCAGGAGCACCGTGGTCACCACACATTGCTCATGAAGGAGGTTGCCCAGGAATATCAGGTAAGAGACTAAGATGGAGACACAGCAGAAAATGGTACTTGATGAGAAATCTCAACTTTCAATTGACTTTAATTATATTGTCACCAAAGCCCTGAGGCCTGTGATCTTATTTCTTACTATGCTCACCTTCTGAGCCCTGAAGGACATTTCTCTGCATTCCATCCAGTTACAAAAGAATAAGCCTACAATGCAGACACTTAGCCGGAAGTAGACATTTTGTACCTTGTGCTAGTAGGTGGAGATTTGGTGCCCAAGCAAAGCTCTCATTACCCCTTTGAACAGGAGGGTTAACTCAAGACCTGGATATACTGAGATGTAAATTCTTTCTTTGCCGCAAGGTCTGGTTTCTTGTTCTAGGTCAAACAGAATCAGTTTTCTCTTGGTGAGGGGATGCTGAGTTCAACCACCTGAGTCATTTACCATCTCCGATTTTCTTCCAAGTGAAAGATTCTAATTGCTGTTCTCATAGTTTCTGTAAACTCTAGTCTCTCCAGAGATCAGCATGATTTCTTCCCCATTTATCCTCCATTCTGATGCTGAGAAAGCCCACTGCTTGACTCTGGTTTCCTTCCTTTCTCACAGGAAAAGCTCCAGGCAACTCTAGAGAGGCTGAGGAAGGACCAGCAGGAAGCTGAGGAGTTGGAAGCTGACATCAGAGAAGAGATAACTTCCTGGAAGGTGGAAGGAGACACTTCCTGAGGGAGTTTGACTGAAATCTGGGAAAAACTTTGGTGTTAGTCACAAGAAGCGTCCTTCCTCTTTGTTTCCTGAAAGTTGATACATCCAAAAGTCATTTGATTAGTCCTCTTCTTTATCCTTTCCCTGATAGGGGTGGGGGCTGAAAAGTGAACATGTCACAAATGAACACAGACAGTTGGAGGGAGGTGTTCATATAGATAGACTCTCTGGTGAGGATAGCTAGTGAATTCTGTGTTCCTTTCCTGTCATGGTTTTGAGTCTTTGACTCTTCTAGGGGAAGACATTTGGCAATGGCTCATGGTTTTGTCCTCGGTGTTCAATCTTTGGCAGAGTGTGGAGGTCTGAAGTGATGCAGGGAGACTTGACTGTCCTCGACAGCTGTGTGAAACCTGAGCCACACCCAGGAATCCAGTTTGGTTCAGAGTTGGTCTCAACAATGCAGATTTGAGGCCATAAATTTGGAATATTATGAAGTAAAAATAATAGGAAAAATCAGGATCTCCAAGAATTGTTGCCTTGCTTCTATCTCACTTCCCTGTGAGAACTTTCCAAAGAGACTAGTTCTTTTTCTTGCTCCCAATCTCTGCCAGAGAGCCTGAGTGCCTTTCTCTCTTTCTCATTCCTGAAGAATCAAATACAAAATGAGACCAAACGTGTCCAGGCGGAGTTCAATCAAATGAGAAGTATGCTGGACTGTGAGGAGCATGAGGAGCTGCTAAAGCTGAAGAATGAGGAGGGAGATATTCTACACAACCTGGCCGAGTCAGAGAATGAGTTGGTCCAGCAGAGCCAGTTGGTGAGAGCTGTCCTCTCAGATGTGGAGCATCGGTTGCAGGGGTCAACAATGGAGATGCTGCAGGTAAGACTTGGGAAGAAGTCTCAGCCTCTGAGATCTGAGAAAAATGAAGACTAGTTTCCTTCTCCTCTGTATTGTTGTGCTCTTTCTGGTGGTGACATTAAGGTTCCTTTTGCCTGAAGTACCGCTTCCCTGCATCAATTTCAGAGGTTATAGGAATAATTGAATGCATGGATAGCAAGGGAAAATCTCATTTTTATTAATTTATGAAGTGCCTTGCAAAAATTTGGCTTTAGAGAGATCTGTTGTGTCCAGTGATATTCTATAGGCCCCTGTTATCTGTGGTCTATGTTAAGCATTTACCAGGTGCCCCTTCAAGATCCAGCTTAGTCACAGACAAACAAATGCACTTCGGATTCTAAGTTTGTTTTTTTTTCTCTTGTGGTTGAGTTGAGATTTTCCCCTTCTTTCTCTATTTTTGGAATAAAAGTTGTAAAAGACTGTTATTATTTATTCTTTAAATATTCAATAGAATTCACCCATGAAGCCATCTCACTCTGGGCTTTTCTTTTGGGAAATGTTTAAAATAATTTTTTTTGACTTGTATTAGCTCTATTTCAATTTTTTACCGTTCTTGAGTCAGTTTTTGGTATTCTAGTCTTTATAGCAATTTGTCCTTTTCTCTAAGTTGTAGTCGTAAAGTTAATCATAATAATCCTTTATAAACCCTTTACTTTCTATAGCACTGACAGTAATGTCCCTTCTTTCATTCCTGATTTTGTTGATTTGCTTTCTCAGTATTTTTCTTGGTCAGTTTAGATATGTTTGGCCAATTTTATTGATTTTTTCAAGAACAATCTTTATTGTTTCATTAATTTTATCTATTTTTTTAAACTTTTCTGTATCATTTATTTCTGCTCTCACAGTTAATGTTTTCTTTATGTGTGAGTGTGTGTGCATATGCAGGTGCATACGTGTGTGTTGGGTTTATTTGCTCTTCATTTTCTAGGTATTTTTTTTTTAAGTGGAAACTTAGGTCACTAATTTGAGACCATTTTTCTGATATTGTGCTTAATGATAAATGCATTGCCTTAGCTGAATGCCACACATTTTGATTATTTAGTTTTTATTTTCACTCTGTTCAACTTACTTTCAAATTTCCTTTGTAATTTTTCATTGACTCTTTGCATACTTGAAAGTGTGACGTTGAATTAAAAAATATTCAGTGATTTCTTACTTTTCCTTATGCTGTGAATTTCAAATTTCATTCCTCTGTAATCAGAGAACATGTATTTTATTATTTCAATCTTTTAAATGTATTGACACTTGTTTATAACCTAAAATACTTTATGTCAAGAAAATTTTTCTTTGAATTTGAATGTTTACTCAGGATTCATTGGGTGAAATGGTCTACAGATGTCAGTTAGGTCAACTTGGTTGATAGTATTGTTCATGTCTTCTATATCCTTTACAGTTTTCACACAAGCTATTCTCTCAATTATTCAAAGAGTTATTGAAATCTCAAACTATTATTATAGAATTGTCTATTTTTCCTATTAATCTCATTTTGCATATTTTGAAGCTCTGTTGTTAAATGCATACACATTTATAATTGTTATATCTTCTTGACGTACTGAGCCTTTTATCATTGTGAAATTTCCCACTCATTCTGTCATAATATTTATTGCCTTAAAGTCTGTTTTGTCTAATATTACTACAGATACTTGAGCAATTTTATGATTACTGCTTTTATGGTATATATTTTTTACATTTTTACCTTTTCCCTTATTTGTCTTTGAATCTAAAATGTATCTCTTATAGATAGCAATAATTGATTCTTGCTTTTTATCTAGTTCAAAAATCTCTGTCTTCTAGTTGAGATATTAAGACAATGACATTTAATGCAATTATTGATATGTTGTATTTAAATTTTCCAGTTTGCTAATTGCTTTTTATTTGTCTCCTGTAGTTTTTATTCTCCTCTTTCTCTTTAACAAGCTTCTTTTGTGTTAAACAAACATTTATAATATGCAATTTTAGGTTTTCCTATTTTCTAACTGTATTTTTTTTAAGTTTTTTTCCTAGTGGTTGCTGTAGTGCTTACAACGTGTATCCTATCCATCACGATCTACTTCAGATTAAAACAAACTTAATTCCAGTAAAATATAGAACTTAGCCTCCAACAGTGCTTCATTTCCTTCCAGTAACAACAGTGATGGTTTCAATATAGGCATCTGATCCAGTGCAGGCGAATTCCATGCAGGCCTCAGAATTTTTTTGCAATAACTGGGAAGAAATATTCTCTTTTGCTTTGGAGTTTATATCCAGAGATTCATGTTCTCTTCATGAACTGCGAATAAGGTCAATATGGAGGGGTCAATACAGAGAGATAAATATAATTTGAAGAAGGACGTAGACCAGATCTTTATGACTAGGTTTGAGCTTCAAAATTAAACTTTGACTAAAATAATAACTGCCCCTGAAAATCTTTTTCTCTACTTAATACAGTTTTTTTGTTATTTTTTTTAGTTTTTGCTTTATACAAAAAACGAGGCCTAATAGAGAGCAAAACCATTTTTTTTGGTGTTTGTATACCTAGCTGTTGGCTTAGGTTTTGATGACATGGAGGAAGTAAGTCCAAGGTAAAAGAGACTAAATGTATTCGTACATATCTGTTCAAACAAATAAAATAATATCTGTGATGATAAATAAGATCAGATGGCTAAAAACTGTGAAGAATGTGGACTAAACTGGCCTGGTAGACACTGAAGAGGAGGGTAAATATTGTGTTTTTCAGGACCCTGACCAAGTGGATATTGATAACATTATGGACAGTGGAGTATAAGAGAGCAGACAATTTGGTTTGTGAATAGTGGGTTACATATTAGACATCATAAGTTACTGGTTCCTGTAGCTTCTTATTACTATATATATTAACCTGCATTTAAGATGCAAAATCGAGTAAAAATAAAGAGTTGGGAATTAGCTGCACATATGTGTATGTCATATTTAAGGGCATAGATGAGGTCATTTATAGATAGTGTATAAAATGAGAAGAGAGAGATTTGAGAAATGCCTACATTAATACATATATTTGCTTATGCCCTCAGCAAAAACGACATAAACTTCTTGAGGAATATTATGATTATTTACTCATCTTTGATTCCCCAAAGCCTGGCATATTGCTTGACAAATAACAGTCTATCACTTTACATTTCTGTTGAATAAATGAAAGAACCCTGAATTATTCAAATCAACTCATGGGGAACATTCTGCATTTGTGGAAAAAATTATGAACCTCCTGTTTTCCTCATAAATATTTCTCATCTCCAGATGTCAGAAACCTCATTCTGTACTTCCACTAGGCTCAAAGCTGTTTCTACCTTTTAGGAAACGTGACAACATTTCATGAGTCTTCCAGAATGAATAGCCTGGATCTTTTCTTTACTTCTTGGCTCTCACATTGGGATCATCTTTATTCTCACCACATCAGGGGGTCGGGGGGATGTGATGAAGCTTTCTAAGTGGTGAGGATGTATCATTTCTCGACTCACGTTTTCTCTTTTTTCCCTAGGATGTGAATGGCATCATGGAAAGGTATATGAGGGAGACCAACTGTGGTCCTTCTGTGCTGTGAAGATAGGTTTAAAGCCATTAGAGTTATCTGGTGGTCAATTAGAATAAAACATCACTCAGGGCAGGAAATGTTGGGTGTAGCTTTATCTTAAATTTCTGTTCACTAATCATAGTTTGAGTGTTCTATGATAATTGAGAATGGACCAGATTCTATGGTAGGGAATTTGTAAGGGGAAGTTGAAAGGTTTGGGTCAATGGCAGTGTTAGGGATAAGGCATTGCAGTATCAGAGCCTTGTGACTTCGTAAATTTTATTCACCCTGCATGCTTTTATGTATCTAAGGTTCCCGTATTTCATAAGCGCTTGACATCTGCTGAGAAGGTCCTGACTTCTTTATCTGCGAAGGACTTAAAATTGGAGACAACTATTTTATATTTAAATTTCTGCCTCAGGAATTGAAGAGACCAGCACCTTCTATATGGTTCTGTTTCGATACCCAAAAACAGACTTGAATCTCAAGGAATATTTTGGCCCAGATGCAAACAATCAATCCATCTTGCTCACATACTTTAGAAGCCAGAATGGAAAGGCCACATCTTTGTGTCTAAATTTACACATCTACCTGGAAGAATCAAGCTCTTTCCAAACACATGAAATTCAGACCACTATTAGTTTGATGTTCATAATATCTTCTTTTCCTAAGGTTTGTAATTGTTGTCAGAGAACCTGAAATCTCAGACGTTATTCTGAGGGCCTCCCTACTGGGTAGCAGACTTTAAGGTCTTGGTCTCTCCAGACAATATTCCCACACTTGATATGACTCAAACACCCAGGAGCCAGGTTCTGCAACCTCATCTTCTGATCATTTCCCTGGGAACCCACATTCATGCAGTGACTTTTCCACACATTATTATTTTTAAGGAACCAATATTTTGTTTTGTTTGTTAAATCCATTATTTCATATAATTTCATATGATTTCTAGAAGGTCAAGAGGGAGAGGTTAATGATTTCATTTTGGAAGGGAGAAATGTGAGGAAATGTGAGCAAATGAAGAAATGTGCTCCTGAGAGGTCAAGATCTTCCCAAGGTCACACAGAGGGTAATTGGGAAGGTGGACATGAGCACATTTCTGGCTCCAAGGGCAAAGTCTACTAGCTCCTTTCTTAGAGTCTTCAGAGAAGAGGGTTCAAGTGCATCAATGTGATGAAAAGATAGGAAGTCAGTGGTTTTGGGGGGACAAAAAGTCAGAAGTGTGCAGGTCCGATTTTGTCATCCCTAGGAGTGAGACCTTGACTCTGAAGAAGCCAAAAACTATTCCCATGGAACAAAGGAGAGTGTTCAGAGCTCCTGATCTGAGAGGGATATTGCGAATGTTTACTGGTAAGGAATGCTAGAGCAAGTGGGTGGCTGTGGGATTCTTGTGAAAGAAGGGGCTGAATGGGGAAGAGGGTACAATTTCTAGGTGTGGACAGAGGAGACAAAAAAGGGGGGCTATATCTGCTGATTATATGGTCGTATTTAACGGGGAGTGGCCACGTGTCTAGTTCTTCCTCTCATTCACGAGTTCACTATCTCACTGTAGTCCCCAATCCTTCCCCTAATCTGGAGAGGAAATAGATTTCAGTGCTGACTCCTTTCCTTATATTTAATATTGGATTAATGTCACGGATTTTTGTCATTTCAGAGTTCACAGATGTGCAACGATACTGGGGTAAGGAGAAATCACAGTACTATCAAGCCACCTTGTCCTTATCATCTTCCAGAATTATGCATTTTCCAGTAGGTCTCATGTTTTAAGACCCATGTGTCCCTTTCAAACACACAGATACATATTATGTTTCTACAGTGTTATACCTCTCCCCAAGAACAGAACAAAGTTCTTCCCAGTACCCACTCAGGTTATTCTCAAGATCCCTCTCACAATGTGCCAAATAAAGCTACATCATATCCCTCACCAAACCCTATAATTTTTCTACAGTTCACATGACACTGGATCCTCCCAAGGATAAATCAGATGTTTTCATTTCTGCAGATCGGAGACAAGTGAGATATGAGTTCTCTCGGAAATTCAATACAAATATATATCGCAATGGGGATTATGATGATTATGGTGTCCTGGGGTCCCCGGTTATCAGATCAGGGAAACATTACTGGGAGGTAGATGTGTCAGGGAAACATACCTGGATCCTGGGGGTATATAGTGGAAAGTGCCCTGAAATCAACATGAAGGCTTTTTTTAGACAAGGTGAAAATTATCAACATGTTTACTCTAGATATCAACCTAGAAATGGCTACTGGGTGATAGGGTTACAGAATCACTTTGAATATAATGCTTTTGAGAAGTCTTCCTCCTCAGATCCCTTGATCTTGACCCTTTACCTGACTGTTCGTCCCCTTCGTATTGGGATTTTCCTAGACTATGAGGCTGGCACTGTCTCATTTTTCAATGTCACATACCATGGGTTTCTCATCTATAAATTCTCTTCATGTCACTTTTCTCGGGATATTTTTCCATATTTCAATCCTATGAAATGTTCTGCCCCCATAACTCTGTGCTCTCCAAGTTCTTGAACATTCTTATACCCTCACTCACTTTTGAGTGCCTTTTACCTTGGGTGCATCTGACACAGCTTATTTGCACCATTCTCACCATCTTTTCCTCACTGCCTCCCTTTTTTCCAGTTGAACATTCTTCATTCACCAATAGGTTGTACAACTTGCCTTGTGTCATATTTTTCCCAATATCATGTTTGTATTAGGAGAGAATCTTTATTCATCATGTTTCATACTCTCAAGGAAAAATTACTGATGCCTCATGAAGAAAGATCAGTATTGAGGTAACACCTCTGCCAAATTTTTACAACCCCATTTCCTCTGCCACTGATGGAGAAGATGAAGGAAAGCTTTTCAACAACTTTTGTATATTATCAAAGACCTTGTATAGAAGTTATCCATGAAAGAATGAGTCCTTAGTGGTGTGTTGGTTCACCCATGGTGTCCCTTATTCATCAAGGGGTTAAGGAGAAAATATCATAAATCATATGTACTAAGAGTGGAAGTTTTGGGTCCAGTGTCTGAGTTCAAGTCCTGTCTCTCCATATTCTAGCAGTGTAAACTTGAGTGACATACTTAAGTGCTGTGTTTATTTCCTTAGAATAATCTTGGTATAAGAACTACACCACACTTAGGATCATTGTGATTAGATAAATGCCATTAAGTTAAAGCATCTAGGTGTCTCAACTTAATAATGAATATTTTCTCTACTAATTACTGAAAAATATAAGCTATGTGAGTGTCTTGTGTAACAGATTTGCGTCTTCAGGGGCACTAGGGTTGTTTTTACTGAAGTCTCATTTTTCAGATCCCAGATACCACTGTACTGCTGTCAAGACTACTTCAGCTCTGCCTGTGATAGATAATTCTGTGTGTGTGTGTGTGTGTGTCACAGTTATGATTTTATTATAATTCATAATAAATGGTGTTGCTCCATACTGGCCTTTTATCAAGTAAGCTAAATACTATGGGATTCAGTTTCTCATTTGTAAAAAAAAATTGTGAAATTTACCTGATGTAGTATTGTGAAAATTAAACAAAAGAATGTTTTCAATAAATTCTGTCATTTCTAGCACATAAGCAGTAATCCAGCATTCCGTCTATTTATTTTTTGTTTCCTTCTCACTGTGACTGATATAAATGGTTTTAAGAATACATATTAGTTTACTTTCAACACTATTACTCTTACTTTGTTTTAAGAAATACAATAACTTAATTAAAGAATTACAATTTTCTTTAAATTTTAGCTAATTAAAATAAATGTTCCTGTATAGCCACCCAGTTTTGTTTTTTTCATTTTCTGCAGTAATTCTATGTCACTGAAATTAAGTTTCAACTTGGGCTCTGTTTACCCAGCTTTAAAAAGTGATTATTCACAGTGATATAGTAAGAGTCAGAAGTATAATTGTGGGATTTCTTAGCAATGGTATAGGGAAGTGTTTTGTTTGCCCTGCTCAGTGTTACTTTTCCAGGGAGGTGAAAGTTCTCAGTAATGAAGAAGAAAGCCTATTCTCCTTCACTGAGATAGAAGGGGAATTATTTCTGCAGTGGATGTTCATTCAGGACTTGATGGGAAACCTAAGTCTTTTGGAATTTTTATTCCTAACTCTTCCCTCAACCAACTTTGCAGTTAAAATAAAAAAAAAAAAAAGGTGGCTGTTTGGTTAAGAAGTATCTGCTTTTATCCCTGCTTGTCCCCAGGAATTCCCAACTTCCTCATCTTTAGATGACCTTTGATGAGACAAGGGATTCCATGGTGGGTATTTCCAGTGTCTGTGTGTATGTATGTACACATCCAGATCTTAGTGTTCATCTGTGGGAACTAGAGGAAATTGATCTTCTAAATTTTTCCTTTGACCTCTGCCTTCCTGTCGCCCCATTGCTATGATGACTTAGGATCTGACTCGCTTGAAAAAAATTTGTAGTTTTGAATAATTAAAATAATGACTCTCCAGGGACCTTCACTGGGATGCCCAGTCCTCCAGTTCAGGATGAGGTACCTAGTTACAAGGCATAAAGTCCTGAATTTTTATATAAAACAGAAACGATCTGCACATTGAGGGGCACCTACATTTTAACAGATGCTGTGGCCCAAAAATGAAGCCCTTTGCGAAGACTACACTCTCTCTTCTCAGTAAACAACCAGAGAAGGTATCCTGGACTCAAAAAGTCTGGTGAGCACTAAGCGTGGATTTGCTTTCTGAAAATCAGTTCCAGGTCTTTTCCCTCCCTGTAACCTCTGAACCTCTGAGTAGCAATCACTTTGTCTTGTATTTCTGGGTCCTCAGGACTGTGCTGGGTCATTAATGAGGCAGATGTGCATCCACAGTGGAAAGTTTGAGTGGTCTCAGGAGAATCTCAGGGAATAAGGAACCTTCAACCTGCAGGATCATGAATGGACAATGTGCAGGTAGAGGTATCTAGATCCATCACCAGGTGGTGATCAGAAGTTTCCCCATTTGGGGACCTGAGTTCTTTGTTGGAATAAACACATAACCTGTGATCATTAATATGGGATTCCAATGACCTTCCATTTTACATGACGATGATGCTGTGCAAGCTCTTCATCCTGACTCGTAATCTCTCCATACTGTCCAAACCTGGGTCTGTTCTTAACAGCTGCACCCATGGCTCATACTCCCTTCTGCTGTGCTAAGTACTTTTCCAGCTCAACTAACTCTCATTTGTCTCCTTCACGTGGGAAGTGAGGCAATTGTTTTTCACCTCAATGTTGCTTTGCCACGAAGACAGTACAGGTACCTTCCTAGACCACGTAATAGTCAGAGTTGTCTAGATAAACAGAACGAATAGGATATATGTGTAGATAGAGACATAGGGTGATAGATAGATAGATCTTAAGGAATTCACTCACGAAGTTGTGGAGAGTGACAAGTCCAAAATCTGCAGGGCAGTTTAGCAGGCTGGAGACCCAGAGAACAGTTGATGTTGCAGCCCAAGTTCTAAAGCTGTCAGGAGACAGAATTTCTTTTTTAGGGGGGAGGTCTACTGTCTTGTTTCTTTTAAGGCCTTCAATTGACTGGACAATCTGCTTTATTCAGACTACTGGTCTAAATATTTAATCTCATCTAGAAAATACCTTTACAGCAACATTTATACTAGTGTTTGGCCAAATATCTAGGTACTGGAGCCTAGCCAATTTTACGCATAAAATTAATCATCATAGATACTAAGTGTTTTCAGTTAATACTGAGAATATTGGAGACTTAATAACATAGCTCTTATTATTTTCATGTTATGGGGTAAAGATTCCCTAATAGATGAATAAATGGTAATTATATTTCTCCTAAACATGCTATTATGCCAAGTGGTCCTCTTTAAAAAAATCATAAATTTTAGTGTATATTTAATGTGGGTCGTGAGTTTATTTTTGATGTTTAATGTATTGTAGGAAAGCTAAAGTAAACTGATGTGTTAAAAGTGGCATCTGTGCCTTCACAGGTGTTCTCAAAGACCTCAGACCTTCCTGTTCATTAAGTGACTCATGCCACTTTGCTCTGATGACAACAGAGATATCTCAGTCTCCGTCACTGTTTGATGGGGTGGTACTATAGCTATGGGGCTTGAAATCTGAAAATGTCAAGGCTGTGTTGTGTTTGTTGCAGCTGCAGTGTTGTGTATTTGCAGTTTCACCCCTGCCTTGAGCCTGCTCCTTCCCTTCTGAGTCATTAACTCTCAAAGGACCACTAGCTGGTATCACAGGTAGAGGCAACTGCAGCAGCATGTGGTCTTCGGTAAAGCCCAGCCAAAGATTTCAGATTTGGGGAACGATCCCAGCCTCTCCCTGCCTCCAAACTGCTGTCTCCTTTCAGGCAGGGGAGACTTATTCTTTGAAATAATGAAAGAACAAATAAAAATACTAAAATAAATGACAGGAAAAGGAGAACGTGATTATTTTACACAAATCTAAACAAGGCCAATGGCTCATAAGTGTTCTATTACTGACAACTAAACAACTTAAAAATTGCTATAGAATTCTAGCTAATAATTTTTAGAATCTATGTTACTAATTAGGATATTATAAAAATGACTCACTCTCAGGAAGAAGCAGAAAACTTCATGGGAGCAAAACAATAATAGGATGCGCAAAATTATGAAATTATGTTTCCAATACTCCTTTTGACAGGCCAGCCTCTGGGTCACATCTGTAATCAGGGACAGCAGAGGACATCAGTACCAGCTCTCCTTCAAGAGAGAGAAGGAAATGAGGAGACTTGATGATCTTCAAGCTAGAGGGATCCGGGAAAGCTGATAACATTTGCTTCTTGTACGTGTAAATACATAGTGGTGTTTGTGATTCTCTAGAGAAATTTCTATGCCCTCTTTGCCTATATAAAGTGGATAGGACTCCTGCCCAGTTCTGCAATCTCTCCTCTCTTCACTCATCTCCCTTGAGCTCCATGCCCAGTCCTCCGGAAACCCTAACAGATATCTGAATATACCAAACTCCCTCATGCTTCTCCTGGGTCGTGTCTGCCGCCTAGAATAAGAGCTTAACGGAGGATGCACAGTCAAAGGAACATTTGTACCCTAGAGAAAGCTTTATAAAATTGGCAACTTTTTAACAAAAAAAAGAGATAACTGTAGATTCACAAACAGTTGTAAGAAATAATACAAAGACATGCTTTGTACAATTTTCCCAATTTCTCCAATTTTTCAGGTCCTTGACACCACTGTCGAGACTACTACAGTTCTCCTTTTGATACACACACACATAAATAAACACAGACATATATACTCATATATATCTCACAGCCATATTTTTGTTTTTAGTTTTCTTAACAGCTTTGAGATACCATTCACATATAAAAATATAGAAATTGTAAATATTTAAGGTGTACAACTTGATATTTAAATATATGTATACATTGTAAAGTGATCACCACAATCAAGCTAATTAACATACCCATCACCTCTACATAGTTCCTTTGTGTGTATGTGTGTGTACATGTTCATGAGTGTATATGTGTGTGTGTGTGTGTGGTGAGAAGATTTATTCTTAGGTGTATCCTCTTAGCAAATTTCAGATATAGAATACATAATTGTTAACTATAGTCATCATCTATTTTTGTCTGTTCAGGCTACTATAACAACCTACCACAGAAGAAGTGGCTTATAAATAACAGAAATGTATTTCTCACAATTCTGGAGGCTGGGAAGTCTAAGATCATTGTGCCAGTCTGCTGAAGACCATCTTCCCTATTGCAGACTCCCAACTTCTCGCTGTGTCCTCACATGGTGTAGGGAGCTAGGGATATCTTAGGGTCTCTTTTATCAAGGCATGCATCCCATTCATGAGGACTCTGCCATCATGACATATCACTTCCCAAAGGTCTCCACCTTCTAATACCATCATACTGGGTATTAGCTTTTCAAGATATGAATTTGAAGGGGGAAGACACAAGCCTTCAGACCTTAGCACTATGCTGTACGTTAGACCTCCAGAATTTATTCACCTTGCATCACTGAAATTTTGTACTT